AAAAATAAACTGAACAACTTTTCCCCAAGGGTCACATCGAAATTCTTCATCAAATTTAAAGTAAAAAATAAAATTCAAAAATATATATATATATATATATATATATATATTTAATTATTTTGGTCCGGCAGGGCAAGTGACCCCGGGCCACTCTCGTATATATTTTTTTTACGAAAAAAAAATATGTTCGCCCGAACATGTTCGCGAGCTGTTCGTTCGAACGTTCGCGCGAACATGAAGGGGTGCGAACGCGTTCGACGTGCTACGGAGGTTCTTCCATTTTGACTCACCCTATAGAGTGACAATATTATATTGTCCAGTCTCCAAAGGATGGACTGTGTACACTCTGAATATCCCTATACTAGATCTCCCTCTGGACCCAACATAGTGGATCTAGCGTACCAACAAGAAATGCAAAACAAAAAAAATACAGCCTTTATCAGTAATAGGCTAATAGCTTCATATCGCTTGTTACGCCCATGGGTAGATGTTCTTGCTGTTATACAAGAACGATGGGCTGGAGCCACTCGACATTTAAATATTTATACGGATTTGCTCAGACCGATTAAGTGGTATCAATGATTCAAGGAAAGACCTGCTAAGTTTGCATCACTACAGTGACAAATAGTTCATGGTTGCTTACCAACAAATGACTGGCTGATTGATCATTCCACGTGGGAACAGAAGGGTGTAGCCCTACCGTGGTGTTGTGCTTGTGTGGAGGCCTTCCCTAGTAGGAAGATAAGGGAAACAATTGAACACATACTTTTGCAAGGTCTGGGGCAAAATTGTTGTGGAAGCGCTGGGATTGTGTATGGAGTAAATTGACAGCTGTAGATCGGCCTTGGGACTGGATGGCGATCATCCTGGGTCACTGGTGCCCTGCTCTCATCTCCTTATCAACTTTTCAACGGAATGTATTTAACATTGGTAGAAAAGTCATTTTATGGGTTTTATGGTATAAAAGGTGTGTGTTTACGATGAAAAAGGCAAGGATTGAGGGTAGAGAATTGTCTGAGCTGGTACAACAGTTCATAGAAACAAAAATAAGGTCTCAATGGGATAAGACTAAATCTGGGCTTTAAACGCTACAACAAAAACAGGATATTAAGAAACAAATACAAAATTTCACAAAGGACTGGCTTGGTGATTCTTCAAGAAGGAAAATGGGGAATATGAAGTGGCTAGGTGGGGAAGAATAAGAGATGAATTTCAAAGCTTGCTTTGGTAGATCTTCATTGGTATGGGGGGGGAAGAGGGGTAACAAGTTTTTTTATCTTCAGTTTGTCTGTTAAAATCTGTTAGTCCGGGGGGTCAAATTGTCAGCAGACACTGGATGTCAGAATAGGCATGATGGGATGAATGGGTATCCGGGGATGGACATGAGGTAACCGTTGCACTGCTAGCATTAGCATAGTCATCTGGCGGCCAAATTTTGGTTGAAGAGGCAACTATTTTTCTGTCACACCTCTTCTTGAACCATGGTTCAGTAACATTTGTATGAGGGACGCTGGACTCGGTTTCCAACAACATATGTATGAGGCACGCCGAACCCGGTTTCCAGCAAGTGCAGCTTCCCACCAACAGAATGGAGCCGGTGGTTGGGCTGCTAGTTGTGGATGCCCTTATCATCATCACTAGCAACTGGGCTGGGTTTTATTAAAAAAAAAAAAAAAAAAAACTAGACGTTATCTTTTGTCAGTGAACAAGTTTTACCATCGGTACTCCAAGCGAACATTACCGCTAATCCCTTGTCCGACCATAAACCAATATGTCTCACTGTGTCTGAAGATATGGGGTTGGTAAAAGGCAAAGGGACTTTTAAACCAAATATGTAAATCATGGATGATAAAGATATGACTGATTGGACATGGAATTTTTGGGAAGAACGGAGGAACTCGACCTCCCTCTTTTCGGATCCGGGGGATTGGTTAGATAAGGGGTTACACCTTATGTCTGCCTTTCTCTAGCTGATTTCAAGAGTGAAGGCCGTAAACAGAAGATATGAAGAGATAAAATTGAAAAAGCGGAATGAAAACTTGGCTGCAATACTTTTTCAGACTCTTATTGGCTAGCGAAGCGCAACCAATGGCTACAAGAGTGGCAAAACTTGCAAATAAATAAACATGAATCTTGGGCAAAATTAAAATGATTGACAACATTCTTACAAGGGACCGTATGAACAGTACTACCTTCAAGGTCATACAAGATAAGAGTTAGTCGCAAATGATCACAGAGTTCGCTCACCCTTTCGACGTAGCGAGACGAAAGGCCCATGACTCAGAAAAGATATGTGATTTTGTACGCCTATTTTATAAGTGCCTATTGACAACAGAAAAAAACCCCTCTTTCCCATTGGTAGCCTCG